AAAACATTTTTTAACAGGAGCCCCAGCCCAGACGCTCCAGCCAAACCAGTCCAACCACCAAAAGAGAGTCCAGGACTCTCTGCTTCACCTGACAAGGCAAGGAAAGCCTGCCTTAAATCATTACAACAACGCTGTTAAGCCGCTGTATATTGTACAAACCACATGAAAATCTAGCCCTGAAAATAAAACAAGTTCTACGAAACGACTGTGGCCAATACACTTGTCTCAGATTAAATTTTTATTTATACAAAGAAATTAAGCAAATCATCACGCACTTCATGATGCTTTAGAAATCACCAAACATGCAAAATGCCATTTTAAGAAACAAGCTAAAAGGAGTTTGCTGCAGGTGTGTTAATAGCTCCCTAGGGGAGAAGTTTCTGCTGTTTTAATTCCAGAAGGAACAGCGTCATGGCGACCACACAGAAGGAGACACGAAATGGTGGAAAACAGAACAGGACTGGTCAGGAGCAGACAGGTCAGAGGTCCACAAACATATACATAGGAGCTGCGTGAGTAAAATGATATAATGACGACGTGTTATAATGATACAATGCGTATGCTACATTTTATTTTATTTCATTTGTTTGTTTCATCATTATGGGGAAAACATTTGACAGTTTTGGGGACAGCTTTAGAAAAAGGAGAAAAACCTATTGTAACCAGCCAAAAAGGGGGTCCTTATCATGAATTTTCACTTCAAAGGCAGCCTCACAACCTGATCTTCAGAAGTGGCAGAAAAGGGAGACAACCTTTAATGAAACAACAGAATTATATGAATGACCAGAAGAGAAACCCAGCCTACCAAATAGTCTTTTTTAGATATGCTGCAATTTTGAGACATGGACAGAGTCATGCCTCAACAAAGGGGGAGATAGATAGGGACAGCCATGCTAGTGTTTATGAATTTTCAAACTACTCCAACATTTTTGTTAACCGTACAATATGGGCTTGCCACAATGCAAGAGAAAACTTATGGACTAAAAGAGGTCAGTTTCCAAAACCACTACTTCCATTTCAACACATCTGCATGGACTTCATATAATAGTTGAAAGACGTCACTGTGTAATGACCTTAGAATCAGGATGTGTTGTCAAATGAAATGTTTGAACAAATAATGTTTACTGTTTGACCCCATTTTACCTCACTGAAGTGGTGCCTTGGCACAAACCCACAAGGTCCCTCAGATCTTTGAGTCAGTATTTTTAGAAGTTCCTATGGCCAGATATAAACGCTGGGGTGACCGTACTTTTACTGTTGCAGCCCCTAAATTGTGGAACAGTCCACCTTCTAATGTTAGGTCAGCTACTGACCTCAGTGCTTCTAAATCATTGCTTAAAACATATTTATTTGGTTTGGCTTATAAAAAACAGTAGGCCTGATGCATTCCTTTTATTTCCTTTTGGTTTTAATTTGTTGAACATATGTTAACTGTGTATCTGTGATATTGTGCTTTTATTTTTGGGCTGATCTTAATTACTCTATTTTAGTCATCTATTTTGATTCTATTCTGCTATGTAAGGTACTTTGGTCAGCTGAATTTTTTAAGTGCTATATACATAAATTTGATTTGACTTGATTTGATACTGCAAGGCAAAGCAATGTTAGCAGTTATATTGTTGGTATTTGTTCTACTGTGGCACTACAATTAGGAACAGCCCTCCCGTCAGTTGAAAGATTTGGCAGACTACAGGATTACTGTGTATACCATAAGGGCATGACATGTCTTTTTCTCTAACCATAAGGGCATGACAAGTTTTTTTCTCTAACCATTGAACAATGTTAATCTTTCTTTACTGTTTC